GCGGCTTTTTTCCTCACCCGCGGAAATATGCGTGTGATACAAATTAATACGCTGTCTTTTCTTTTCAACACGCTATTTTTGGTATGCTGCATATTGATTTTGCTCTGCTCTCATATTTACCTTTTCTGTTATGCATATATATATATATATATATATATATATATATATATATATATATATATATATATAAATATATATATATATATATATATATATATATATATATATATATATTCTGCTGCTTTATTGAACTAAGAGTCTTCTTGATTCCAATTTTTGGGTAAATTACGTAAACCCTTTTTTTTAGGTAATTACAATCACCCACTCAATTATGTATTATTTTACAAAATACTTATCCAGAGGTAAATTTAGGGATGTTAAATCGATAAAACCGAAGCGAAATTTCGGTACGCCGACATTTCTTACCATTACCGAACTGAATATACAATTTGGTTCAATAAATAACCGAATTACATAAGTTTTATATAAAAATATTTAAAATGAGTGGTGACAGTAATTATTACCCAAACAATATGGGTTTTTTCGTAACTTAGCCATACATCAGGGGTGACCGTAATTTGCCCCCAATTTAGGCTTTCATGTTTAGAACAATATTGTCAGAACCAGAACCAGACCGGCAATGGAATCGAACGACCACTTGGGTCATGGTTTTATAAAGTCGAATCGGTTCTACAGAGTTTTTAATTTTTTTAATATGTCATTATTTTATTTTAAAAAAAATATTTTTCTTTATGTTTTTAATCTCTCATCGATTATTTTAACTTTTATCTACATACCCCACATTTTACTATATTTCTTTTGTTTATACTATACATTTTTCCATTATTTATTCTCCAAATTCGACAATCGATCCCATGATCATATCCGACAATCTTTCGACCACTCATGACTAGATCCGGCCATCCACCATTAAACCCGTGAAAGTTCACTCAAATCTAGCCACAAATAACCAACTCAGGTGGTGGTTTGAGATGTTTTAGCCGAAAACCAGGTTCCTTGAGCGACTCGCCGGTTCTCAAGTTTTATCCGGTCGAATCGAATTTTAGTCGATTTTCAATTTTTCCAGCTTTAGAGGTCAAAATGGGCCGCTTTATTGCCGGATCACGGTCGAACTGGTCCGACCAACTGGTTCTAACAACATTAGTTTTGAATATTTTTTCCATATCCATGTAATATATTATCAAGAACATATTTTTGTTTATCAGCTCTTCAAATATAGTTTTGGTTTAATTTTTTTAGCTCAGCTGAATTAGGATCTTGTACTTGTTATTTTAATTTAGTATTTCCAAGACCATAGTAATATGATTGACTTCGGATATAAGTTAGATTTATTTAATTTTTAAATAAAAAAAAAAGAATCATCAAATATTGCATTAATATTATTGGGGCTCTTTGAGAAAACCCCCTCACTATTTTTTTTAATTGAGGGAGGCCCAAAATATTTTAGTTCATTTGAGAAAAGTCCACACCCATTTGCAGCCATTATATTTTCCAGTTTTACCTCCGCCCCGCCACCTCATCACTGGGCCAGCGCTCTGCTATTTTTTTCTTTTTTTTTTCCGTTTTTTTAATCGACTATGAAGCATAGTCGATTAGTCTTAAATCGACTATGCTTCATAGTCGATTAAGGAAAATCTTTAATTTTTTAATTTTTTTTTTGTTTCTAATTTTGTTTTTAAATGTTATTTGGTTTTTTTAATTTTTTTCTCTATCAGGTTTATTAATGCATAATCGATTAAAATTTTAGCTATTAAAAATAACAAATCACAATTCCAAAAAAATGCAAAATCAACTATATTTAAAAAAAATATACGAACATTGTAATTGATTTATACATTGGAATCAATAAACAAAAAATCAAAAAAAAAAAAAAAATTAACAACTGGAGTCGGTTAACCTTAATCGACTACTGAACATAGTCGATTAAACACACGTAATCGATTAAGGGTCCTGCCTGCGCGAATTTCTTTTTCTGCGCCGTCTTCCGCCACAATCCACCAAAAAAACCCTAGATCTGCTCTTCATCGTCACCACGTCGTCGCCACACCACACCATCACCACCCCACTTCCATATTCTAAGTAGTACATAGTAGATATACATATTTAACACATAAGAAATTAAATGGATGCATTTTGTAATGTTTAGAGAACACAATCAACAATCAACAATCAACATTAATATATTACCTGGTGTGTATTGTGTAGTAGAGTAAGGGAACGACGAAGGGACGGTGGTGGTCGGCGCGGCGGCGGCGGTGGACTGTGGTGGTTGGTGCGGTGGCGGCGGTGGACGGCGGCGGAGAAGCATTGGCGGTGGTGAAAGGTGTGAATTTGGGAAAGAGAAATTAGGGTTTCAAAATAGTATATTGACAATTAAGAGTATATTTAAAATTATAAAAGTAATATTTGGTGGAATACAAACGAATAGGGTTTTCTCAAATTATTTTTGGAGGGGGGTTTTTCTTAACTACATTTCCTAGATAAGGGGGGTCTTGCTAATAATCCCTACTATTATTACTACTATAGTTTTTAAGACGGTACAAGTGCTTATGATTCTTTTTGATTTGAAGGATATAAATATTATTTCAATTCATATTTTAATAATTTAATGTAGTTAATAATTCAACAAACAGTTACTAATCTACACATGAAACAAGTTCATTTACTTCAAAACATTAATTCCTAATCATTTTAACAGAATATATAATGTCTAAAACGCATTAATGTTCGCTATGCATTTAACACGTCTATTTATTTCACAAAATTATATAGTTGGTTTATATGCTTTCATGCATTACGAAATAAAGTTTTTATTTATTTATTTATTAAAGTGGCAGCAGATTACACACACTACGTACACGCAGTGCAGTATGTCAGACGAAAGTAGCAGACTTAATGAAAAAAAGCAAAGGGCCTTTTTTGATGCAATGTGTGTGTATTCACTTGTATTTTCTCCATGTAGTCACTTATGAATCTTAACTTTACAATGTGTTTTATGTGAGAGAGAGATAAATCTAGAGAGAGAGAGAGAGAAAAGAAAAGAGGGCCAACTAGGGTTTACATTGACTTCAAAAACAGTTTTCTTTTGGTTTTTGAGCTGCTTACAGTGGATTCCTGGGTCACGGTTGAGAGATTTTGAGCTGTTATATACGGTACATTTTTTTTTCGAAATATATTTCTTGCCTAAAATATATATATATGTTAACCTTCATTATATTTATGTATATACTTATATTTTTGTTCATTTGAATCGCCATAATCGGAAGTTTTTTTTTCCAGTTCCTGTAGGCGTGCTAGAAATTAAATAGATTTATATTGGTGTAGGAGAAAACTTGGAAATATATATATATATATATATATATATATATATATATATATATATATATATATATAAACAGGAAAGATATATGTATACCTTACACTGTAATTGTTCTTGAATTTCTGGGATGGGTAATTGGGTTTTTCTTTGGTGGAAATTGGTATGGGATTTTCAAACCTTTTGAATTCGGAATTAGAATATATATACAAGATTTAATAATCAAATAATGTAGTTAAATTTAATTACAGTGAATGAATTTACCTTCATCTATTATAGGAAGCATTAACTCCTAATCATTTTAACACAATGATGATTAAAATGCATTAATGTTTGTTATGCATTTAATACATCTATTTCTTTCACAAAACCACAGATGCAATCAAATTTTCCTTGTGGTTTATATGCCTTCATCATGGGGTTTAAGGGGTTAAAATTTCCAAATCTTTCTAAATGGATCTAAATGAATGTATATAGGTTTATTTTATTTTATTTTATTATCTTGGACCTTAGAGACAGTAGAGACACATCTGAAAATCGATTTCCAATCGGAAAAATTCGTAAATTCTGTTCTGAGTTGCACCCCTATAAGTGAGTGATCACTAGTAATTATACTACTCAATGAGTTATTAAATAATTCTCTCTCTCCAGGTCTTAACGGTCATCATCATGGCACATTTTGAGAATTTTAGCTTGGAGTTGTCAGATGTTCGTATAAGAGATCAAGAAAACTATGGTACTAAATAACAATTTCTCTCATATATATATATATATATATATATATATATATATATATATATATATATATATATATATATATATATATATATATATATATACTTATGTGAAAATTAGTTATCATAACTTGTTTTGTGAATTAATGTTAAACAGGATGGTGTACTTTTAAAGCAACAGCGTTTTTGTTAAGCTATGAGTTGAAATTCAACATTGTTTTGTGAATTAATGTTAAACAGGATGGTGTACTTTTAAAGCAACAGCGTTTTTGTTAAGCTATGAGTTGAAATTCAACAATCCAAAGTTGAAACATTTTGAAGCATCAACTCAAGATCTTATCGACAACTTTTATATAAAATATCCAGATAACGTGACGTATAAGAAAACCGATCGAGAAAACAGCAAGGGCAAGAATCGCGTCTATGTAAAATGCCAAAAAGAAGAAATGGATTTCTATACAATTAGTATCGATAAGGGTTTGAAGGATCTATTTACATTCTTACAGTCTGATGGCGTTTGTTTGGAAAGACGATTGAAGTATGTTAAACGAGTACAAAAAGACAAGAGGCCGATCCCAGTAAGTAAAATAAAATAAATTTTTATTATTAATAATAATTTATTTAATTTAAGAATTACTAAACTTTTCAAAAAAATATTTCTCATTTTTTAAGGGTGAAAGAATAAAGATAGACAAAGTTACATATGTTGCTCATACCCCTTCAGCAAGTGATGTCAAGAAAATTCTAATGAAAGGCCACCCTATTATGGCGGTTATGTATGCCCCCGATGAATTTACTAGCTTTTTTCTGAAGTACGCTCATCATGTATACCTTCCCTGAATCTTGGAATCACCTGCAATACGAAAATCCCAAAAGGTGTTAAAAAGCTAGTAAATGCATACAGCATACAGCAGAAAGCTGTTAAAAGAGTTTAAATTTCTATAACATAAACCGGTACATACTTCAGATACAACATCGCAATTAATTGAAATATAGCAAATGGACAGTGTTCAATAAACTACCGAAAATACAACACGAACTGATCATTGTACCTTCCTCATGTTTTATGCTAAATCATATAAATTTTGTTCAAATTTTAAGAGATAAATACAGGTATGTATATGCTCATAGCTAACTATGAGAGTTTAGCTACTGATGCATCCAGCTACTTGACGTTCGAACGTCCTAAGTGCAGCCATTTATACATATACAAATAAACATAACATAGGTACATTGGTGGTGGGTCTGGTACCTCCATATATCTATCTGAAGTTCAAATACTCATCATGCACCTACCATATCGTCACAAAATGATATGACATAATCGTTCATGTTGAGTATGTTATGTAATGTCAGTATGTGATGTGTGTGCGTGAAAGAGAGGGGGTTTGTTGAACTTAAGATGGAGGATTCTTCTCAAAGAGATGCAAAAACAAACCTGTTTCAACTTTCAGTAATGGAACTATTAAAACGTTAGGTAAGAAATCTAATGATTTGCATTGACCAATAGCAACGCATGTGGCCTGTTGGTGCAAATTTCTGCCAATTCTTAGAAACTCTATAAACAAGAGAGAACTATTTATTGTTGGTTGGCGTCCAATGATGAGGTGGCTGAGATTTTAATATAAAAAGGCCGAGTACAATTTATGTGGGACCCACTTTAATCATAGTCGGTGTTAAGAACTAATTTTCTTGATATTATATTATATTAAACTAAACTCATCTTACAAGCTATTTATACACAAATTATAATTAATTACACTTCAACTAATCATCTACCAACTAACCACATAATTATACTAATCTCCTACCTAACAACAACTTAATAAATATATATCTTCCAACACTCCCCCTCAAGCTGGAGTATATAAGTCAAATACTCCAAGCTTGCAACAAATATAATGACCTCGATGTCCCCTGAGGGGTTTTGTGAATATATCTGCTACTTGATCATTTGAGCTGACAAATTCTGTGACAATTTCTTTAGAAATGATTTTCTCTCGAACAAAGTGACAATCGATCTCAATGTGTTTGGTTCTTTCATGAAACACGGGGTTAGATGCGATATGAAGAGCCGCTTGGTTATCGCAACATAACTTCATTTTTTGAGTGTCTCCAAACTTTAATTCTTGAAGAAGCTGTTTAATCCAGATTAACTCACACGTGACTATGGCCATAGCTCTATATTCAGCTTCGGCGCTGGATCTTGCAACAACATTTTGTTTTTTACTTTTCCATGATACGAGATTTCCACCAACAAAAACACAATATCTGATGTAGAACGCCTATCAATAGGAGAACCTGCCCAATCTGCATCGCAATATCCAGTAATTAGAGTATTCCCTTTATCTTCGAAAAGTAACCCTTGTCCTGGTGCCTTTTTGATATATCTCAAAATCCTTATTACTGCATTCCAATGATCTTCACATGGGGCTTGCATGAATTGACTTACAACTCCAACGGCAAAGGAAATATCCGGTCTTGTGATAGTAAGATAGATAAGCTTTCCGACCAATCTTCGGTACCTCTCGGGATCATAATAAGGCTCCCCCTGATTTGGTAGAAATTTATGGTTTGGATCCATAGGACTGTCGATTGGCTTACAATTTTCCATGCCGGTTTCTTTAAGTATATCCAATGCGTACTTCCTTTGTGATATAGCAATTCCACTTCTTGATTGAGCCACTTCTATTCCAAGGAAATATTTCAATTTTCCCAAATCCTTGGTCTGAAAATGGCCAAACAAATGTTCTTTCAATTGGGAGATTTTCTCATGATCATTGCCAGTAATGACAATATCATCAACATACACTACAAGGTAGACACATGTATTAGGAGAAGTATGGCAATAAAATACCGAGTGATCTGCTTCGCTGCGCCGTAATCCGAATTTCTGCAAAACTGAAGTAAATTTTCCAAACCATGCTCGTGGGGATTGTTTTAGCCCGTAGAGAGATCGCTGAAGCTTGCAAACTAATCCCGACTCCCCCTGAGCAACAAAGCCAGGCGGTTGCTCCATATAAATTTCTTCTTCTAATTCCCCATGAAGAAAGGCATTTTTAATATCTAACTGGTACAATGGCCAATGACGAATTGCTGCCATGGCAAGAAATAAACGAACCGAGGTGATTTTTGCCACAGGAGAAAAAGTATCCCCGTAGTCAAGACCATAAATTTGTGTATATCCTTTCGCCACAAGACGAGCTTTTAGACGATCAATTTGTCCATTCGGGCCAACTTTCACAGTATATACCCAACGGCAACCAATAGTGGTTTTTCCTGGAGGAAGAGAGACTAACGCCCATGTCTCATTTTGTTCAAGAGCTTGCATTTCTTCAATCATGGCTTGTCTCCATCC